TAATGAATATGATGTATTTCTTTGTGTATGAACTCTGTCCTGCGTGGCAGTGAGAAGTGATACCACCCTCAGTGTCAAGACCTGACTGAATTACTCAGAATAGGCAAACTGTACTCCAAGCTTTGTCAATAAATTTGTTAAACTAACTATGTAATATCAAGCCAAACCCCACTAAAATATTATGTAACACAACCCTGAACAACCCCCTCCTCAACACTGCTCCAGATCACACCAATCAGAACTGTCAAGACTCTGGATGACTTAACAGCTGCTTTACATACAAAGGGTTTTCAATTATCTCGCAGCTCAGTATATTTGTGACTACTGCCTAGAAATTCTTCAACTTGAGAGGGAAAAAGACATGTGAAAACAGTTCATGCTAAACTAATGAGGTCTGAAAATAGTGCACATTCTAGATATCCAGATACCTATATGCTAGAACATCTATCTCTTATCTGGAAGAGATTGCTTCTCTACTTGGACCACATGAAGTCACATTCCATTCACAAGATAACAAGGCAAGAGTTCCAATAGGCTTTACCACTGCAAACAAACAGGCTCCTCTGATAATGCAAATGGAATATAAAGTCACTCTTAGTGACCATTATTTTGTTGTTGCCCCTAAACACAAACTAATACCATCAGTAATAGATGGTATTTCAATAAAGGAAAGCTGTATTGGAGAACATATATAGCCATACGAAGTGCTAAGCACACATCTTCAACTGCAATGGGGCATCTGAGAGATATGAAGAAAGTGCCTTCCTTACCACAGTTTATTGAACAGATGTTTACACCTGATGGTATGCCACAGCCAGTCATGATTGTAACAGTAGATGGTGGTCCTGATAAAAACCCTAGGTATGAAAAAACCATCACGTGTGCTGTTGTTTATTTTTGCACATATGATCTAGAAGCTCTCTTCATTGCAACAAATGCATCAGGTCGAAGTGCATTAACAGAGTTGAACGACGTATGGCCCCACGTTGCCATGATCTAGCTGGAGTCATCTTACCTCAGGATCATTTTGGAAGCCATTTAAATTTTAATGGAGAAAATGTGGATGAAGAATTGGACGAGCAAAATTTTGCCCATGCAGGGAAAATTCCCGCAGACATTTTGTCAGCTACTGTTACTGGTGGCTACCGAACAGCTGCTGAATATGTTGATCCACAGGAAAAAAATGAACCAGAAACCCTTGAAAAGAGTCCTCCCTGGTAAGCAAAACATGTGCAAGAGAGTCAATATTTTCTACAGGTCATCAAATACCAAGATACAGCTTGCTGTAATGCACCAAGAAGTTCTTACTTTTCAGCTATTACCAACAAATTCTTGCCCTCACCACTTCCCCTTGTACAAACAGCAGATGGCTTGTTATGTTGTCTTGATGAGATGAGTGCCAAATATCCACCGCTCTTTGTCAATCTAGCACTGGACAAATGTGTGCTACCAGTTCGGGCAGTTAAAAAGTCTCCAAAAGGCCTTCCATATGATTTGGCATGTCCTTGTCTGAAGAATGAGCTGCAGAAGCGCAACTGTGGAACATGTGGCAAATACTTTGCCTCAGTCAAGTCCATAAATGCACATATTAATAAACACTCTTCGAGTTGCATGAGTCGCCATTATGTTGTGAGTGCTCCAGCAGAAAGGCTGCAACCTCAAAGACTAGCTGCCAAGAGACAAAGGGAATTCATGTGTGTTGTCAAGTACCTGGAAAAATAAGAGTATGAGTGGCACATTGAGGAAGAATTGGATACTGAGGGACTTGAAATGCCAACTGAGATCAGGGCTAACAAAGGAACACCAATCGTGACTGTACCGGTAGAGAACCAGTGTGGCAGGAAGACTGTTAGATCTGGGACAACACACATGAACCACCCCTGGACACTTAAATATTTAGACTGAGAACTGAGTTTTCAGAAATTTATTTGTTTTTGACATGCAAACAATATATCAGGAATATATTACATAAAAATCATTTCCTTTCATTATTAAAGTTGCATTACTTGCTTTCACCTTTATTTGAAAAAAATAAAATACGCATTTATGTGACAAGGTATAGAAAAACCTCAGCACATATATTATTTTTTTTAATTCTTCGTACACTTATAGTATTAAAAAGTTTCAAAGATTACATCTGTATTATTTAGGCTTTATTTTATTTTTTACTGAAACATAATACTTCCTCTGACACCCCCACCCCCTTGTAACACACTGTAACACCTGACTTTATACCCCACACCCCCCTCTGCATTATGTAATTTTTGAATGGCCCCTTAATTTATTGCTTTTAATCAATAACATTTTCTTAATGTAGTCTGATATTGGATCATTTTAAACAAATTAAGAAATACTGTATTGTATTCCGCTGCCTTAAATATATTATAGTTAATTTCCTGAATAGCGAGAGCAGATGGCAGCCTCGCACAATAAAAGTCCACGAGATTATTACGGAAAAATTATGTACAGTATCCATAAGTCATACTGATGATATGTTAAGAGTGCCGGGCGGGACATACAGTCGGCCAGCCAGTCACCACCAGACCAACAGCACTCTTTTACTTACCTTTTTACTTTTATCCTCTTCACCACTGATCGGCTCGTTCGCCGCTTGGGCGATCGGTCACGTCTCTGTTACGCACTGTTGGCACGTACTGGGCATGCACTGGCTCCTGAATGTATCTGAACCTGCTCCAGTATTGGTAAAGTCTGGTCTTCAAAGAGCTCACACTCGGTGCCGTCACCACACTCTGGCAGATTGTTCCAAGAGTTCACAACTCTCACTCCGAAAAAGTTACCCCTCACAGTTATCCGGACTTGCAGTTTCTTTAACCTTGAGCTTTGTCCCCGAGTGGAGCGAGCGTCCGCCAGCTCAAGGTAAGGACACTCGACTGAGTAGTGCCCTCCGAGATGCTTGTACACCTCAATCAGATTTCCCCTTGCCCGTCTGTTGTACAATTAAGTTAGGCAAGTTCAGGCGCTCCAATCTCTCCGGGTAGCTGAGGTGCCGCAATGCAGGCACCAAACTGGTGGCCCTCCTTTGGACATTTTCAATCAGCTGACAGTCCCTAGTATATCTCGGGGACCGAACAGGATGACAGTACTCCAGGCGGGGAAGCACTTCACCATCTAGATTTCTGAAGAACCTCTGTGGGCTCCAAGAATGGTCGAAGAAATGGCTGCTGAGATTTAATGTCACAAAGTGTAAGAGGGTGCACCTGGGGCGTACCAACGGTAAGGAGACGTATCATATGTCCCAACGGGATGAAGAAACGGCACTAACTGAGACTAAATGTGAGAGGGACCTAGGTGTGTATGTTGACAATGAGCTGAAGTTCTCGGGCCATTGAGAAAAGAAGGTAAATCAGGCAAATAAATTATTGGGTCTTATAAGAAGGTCGTTCAGATATCTAGATGGTCCGTCCCACGTAACGATCTTCAAGAGTGAAGTGCTTCCCCATCTGGAGTACTTTCACCCCGTCTGGTCCCTGAGATATGCTAGGGACTGTCAGTTGGTTGAAAATGTTCAAAGGAGGGCCACCAGACTGGTGCCTGCACTTCGGCACCTCAACTACCCTGAGAGATTGGAGCACCTGAACTTGCCTAGCTTAATATTACAGACGGACAAGGGGTGACCTACTTGAGGTGTATAAGCATCTCAGGGGGCACTACTCAGTCGAGTGTCCTTACTTGGAGTTGGCGGATGCTCGCCCCACAAGGGGTCACAGCTCAAGATTGAAGAAGCCGCATGTCCAGAAAACTGTGAGGGCAAACTTTTTCGGAGTGAAAGTTGTGAACTCTTGGAACAATCTACCAGTACTGTTTTTGTTGTACATAAACGACATCGTCCACGCCAGCACACTCATAAAATACAACTTATTTGCAGACGATAGTAATCTCTATGTCAGCAACTCAGACCTCCATTCCTTGATGAGAACTATGAACACTGAATTAACTAAAGTCAGGACCTGGGTAATACGTAATAAACTGACCTTAAACCTTGAGAAAACCCACTACACGATCTTTCACAGAAGGAAAAACTTACCCTCAGATTTGGACCCCCTGTACCTTGGTAATACAGTCCTCAAACGTGAACAAAATACTAAATTCTTCGGAGTTATTGTTGATGAGAAACATAACTGGAGAAACCGCATACAAGCCATTCACAGTAAAGTCAATAAACAGTGCGGTATCATGTATTACACTCGACAGTCACTCACTCTCACAGCAACGAAAAATTTGCTATCTTGAAAATTTTAAAATTCGAAGATATTAACACCTACTGCTGTGCCCTCTTTGTTTACAAATCTATCAATCACTTGCGTGACATTAATTATTTCCAGTTCTGGAATAATCAGAGATACAACTTAAGGCACCCAGAGCTACTAAGACCACCCCCATGCGCTCCTCTCAGTCCCAGACCTCCATAAAATATCAGGGTGTGAAGGTGTGGAACAACTTACCCCCACCCATCCAAGCAAAGACTATGCTCCCTTCCTTTAAATCATCTCTTAAAAAATATCTATTGTCTAAGTATTTATATATCTTGTAACACCTACTATATTTACAGTACCTGCTTTTGTTGTACCATCAAAATCGTTTTATCGGAAATTATCATGTAAATAGATAAGTAATTACCATTGCAATAAACATATTTGCCAACTAGACATAATCCTGATAGCTCTGTCCTCATGTTCAACCTTATTACTGTACAACTCATGTTGTACTGCTCCCCCATTATACTTATGTTTTTCAATTCCACTGTAATTTATGTATATATAAATAAAAAATAAATAAACTAAAAGAAAAATAATAACTAAATAAAATTAATAAATATTGAAGTGATAACTGTGGTAACATTATGAGATGTTCTTATCACCACCATGCTATTGTACTATTCCAGATGTTACTAAATGTTACATAATACTTCCTCGAGACAAATGTATAGTATATATCAGGAGCCTAAAAGAGAGCTCAGGTTCTCAACTGGCTCAGCCATGTTAATATTGTTATTGTTATCCACTCTGTATCTGTGTTTTTCTGGCTTAATAAACTGTTTCAATTCAATTCAACACTGAAGCCGGTTCAGGTACTTTCAGGAGCCAGTGAATGCCCAGTACTTGCCAACAGTGCGTAACAGAGACATGACCGATCGCCCAAGCGGTTTACGAGCCGATCAGTGGTGAAGAGGTTAAAAGTAAGTAAAAGTATTAGAAAATACATTATGCTTGACGGCTGTGCTGTGGTAGGATAGGCACGGTGAGGGTGGGGTGGGGGGGAAGCACGTAGGCATTGACAGCGCTGAGGGACAAACCTTTTAGTGTAAGTGTGATGACGTGTGCGTCGGTAGTTGCAGCGAGTGTGTAACATCAGTACTCACACAAGACACAGATAATCCCGCCAACATGTTAAGCAGTGGAATCGTTAGTTTGCTTGGGTTGGCAGCAGTAGTTCTTGGACGCGAGGACAGTGTCCACCAGGTAGGCGGCGGAGCTAATGTAGAGGAAGACGCCCATGGAGATGCCCGCCGCCTTGTAGTCCTTCCAGTAATATGTCGGTTGATGCCAGAAAGACATTGACACCGACGCTGAGATGAACAAGAAGCTGAAGAAGAGGAAGTTGATCGCCAGCTCCTGAGAGGGAGAGAAGATCAACCTGTTAAGAAATTAGTCTAAAATATTTAAGAAGATTTCTGATCCAAGGCGAAGGATAAGACTTAAACAAATGTCAGATTAGGAAAATATGTCATTAGTCATTTCTGGTCAAATATGCCCAACAGAGTCAAACCCTTTCCTTAAAACAGTGAACTTTATCACGAAAGATGTGAACGGTTATTGAAAATATTTTACCCCGGATGATCTAATCAGTAATCTGAGTTCTTCTTCCTGACTCCAAACGTAGTGTGTTATGGTCTGCTGGTTGAGAACGACGCCCGTCATGTAGAAGACAAACACACAGTCCCATGATGATCTGCTGGGTGTGAACGACCCCCATCACGTAGAAGACAAACACACACACACACACACTCACCAGGATGGTCTGCTGGATGTGAACGACTCCCGTCACGTAGAAGACAAACAAGAGAGGCGTAATGAGCATGGCTGCTACCATCACCCCGCCCGCGAAGAAGTCAGCGTCGGTGCCCACACTAAGAGAGTCGTGTTGGGGGTCACCGAGAGTGAGCGGTACCCCACGGAACAACCCCAGAGCTACACTCACGCTCACCTGACGGGCGGGAGTTAATTATGAGGACCATTAGAGGGTAGAGATTAGTTGTGAGGGATAATGGGGAACACAAATCATGTATCACCAGAAGATCCGTCCACCAGTTTATTTCACCTTAAGATTAACCTTCCTAACGCTACCTAGGGGGTTTAGTTAGGTTAGGTTAATGTTAGGTTAAGTTAGCACTAGAATGTCTTATCTCTAGGTTAAATTAACGTTAGCGTAGTTTAGGTTAGCGAGTTTAATCTTAAGGTTAGGTTAGTGTAGTGTAGTTTAGATTAGATTAATGCTTCGTTGAGGTGGTTCATCTTTAGGTTAAATAAAAATAAGTTTATTGTAAGTTAGGTTAAGTTAGGTTATCGTTAGGATGGTTAATCTTTAGAATTGGTTAGGTTAGGTTAGGTTAGTGCTGTAATGAGTGAAAATCAGACCAAAGCTTACAGCCCTGAATTACATCACATATAACAGCAAGTACAGTACAGACCGCGTGGTACCCTAACATCACAGGTTGACACAACGCAGGTCAAGACCTGACCCCGGCCTAAGTACTTGCGTAACCCTACGATATAACCGTGCTAAGGAAACCACATCTGACCAAGACCCACCCGGGCGGTAATAATTACAAAGCACTATTGTCCTGCGACATGACCTCACCTGGGCAAACACCTGTCCAGACCTGACCCAAGGGAGATCAAGGACCCACTAATCAGCCAGCACCCCTGTTACACAACCCAACAACCCGGTCAAGACACACCCACTTAAGTAGGAGAGGTCACCCTCCGGTTCCTCCAATATATAAGGGTTTCGGTTGCTCGCCCGGAATAGGTAGGGTGCCTGCAACTTTCGTAAAATCACAACAACACTGATGCCACGGAGAACGACCAAAGCAAATGACTAGGACAACTGGAAACAGGATACCGGTACGCTCCCTCCAGGGGGGCGTATCCGAAAAACGCAAGGAGGAACTAGGCATACTACTATGTGCCCAGCTAAACATCAAATTCGCCGCCTTGATGGAAACAAAGGACTCCTTAATAGTCCTGTGCCTGGAAGAAAAGGATGTAGACAATATGCTCTCTGCCGACTCAACAAAGAAATTAAAAGAACGAGGATTTGAAACAGTAATACCACCACAACTACGTGCAAAAAAATCCGTAGTAATTAAAAGGGTAGATAGAAATATACTGAAAGAAACAACAAGCTACAATGCTAACAATATAGAAGAGAAGAACCCATGGGCCAGAGTTGAGGAGGTGGTGCTAATGCCTGGTGCTCCCACCATGATGAAGGTCAGGTTTGGAGAGATCTCCATGGCACAAAAAGCCCTAGAGAATGGCCTCTGTATCTCCCACTACCATCTGTCAAAACAACAAATTGAGCAGGAGGAATTTTACGCAATAACACCGTGTTGGAACTGCGATAAATACAATCATCTAGCAATAAACTGTCTCCAAAAAGATAAGAAGTTCTGCTCCGAATGTGCAGCAGAGAGCCACACATTCAGAGAATGTAGCAATAAAGATAACCCCAAATGCCTGAACTGCAATGGGGACCACCGAACACTAGCAGCACGCTGTCCCATAAGGAAAGAAATAATCAGGAATCTGAGAGAAAAAGAAAAGACAAATAAGAAGATAGAAACAGACCCTAACAAAACATATGCAGCAATTGCAAAGCTGCAAGATACCACCTCCAAGGTTCTGAAGAAAGCGAAAGAAAACCCCCTCATGCAACCTACATACCTTAATCTGAGCGAAGGATTACCATTCACAATTCTAACCATTATCATTCGTGCACACATCAACAACATCGCAAAACCAGGAACCTTTGGAAAAACGATCAGGGAAATGTTTGCTGCAAACAATCTGCCGGAGGTGAAATTCCCAGACGACGCCCCCTCAACAGAAATATTTAAAATTGTCACCGAGAGTAGCCTGGGAATAACCAAACCACAGGAGCACATAACCAAACTAGGCACAGAAGAAAACGTCATGGAAATAGACCCTATCACCCAAGCAGTCACACCACACCGCAAATCATCAGATTCCACAACTCAGCAAACAGAGAAACCACAACCTGCAAAAGCTGACCCAACCAAAGCGAAATCAAGAAAAGAATCCCACTCTGGCCATCGTGCCCCCCATCTTCACCAAGCGATGTGCAGCCAGCAGACCTAGGCAATGAGATCGGTATCCGCTTCTACTCAGTCAACACACCACCTACAATAACAAATGATAGACTTCTGCAGGAAATCAAGGAAGGCACAGTCAAATTCACCTACGAAGATGATAGGGTAGAATAATCCTACATAGACCAGTTGATAAATGCAGGACTTTTAAACACCAAATATAACAAAATTGAAAGAGTAGATATAACTAAGTTTAAGAAAATCAGAACGGGATTGAAGGAGGAAAGGAGTAGACACTCGCCAGGAGATACACGAGCCAGCAAACACCCTACACCAAGTTCTCGGGATCCACGACTATTCAAAACAAATCATTAAAGATAATTCAACACAACGTCCTTGCCTGGACTCTGGCGAGGAAAACAGAACTTATTAACATATACAGCACAATAGACCCAGACATCATCCTTATCAACGCACATGGTCGGAAAAACAGTGACAAAATCAAGATCTTTAACTACCATGTACATCAAATGAACATACACGACGAACTACATGACGGAATAGCAATAGCTATAAAACGCAACATACAATACAAAATCATTGACAACTTTCAAAGTAACTTTCTTGCAGCCGAAATAAATACAACAAGAGGCCCAATAACTATTGGAACTTCATATCTAACATTCAGAAGGCCAATATTCCCTACAGGGGACATCTTAAAACTAATGAGGCAAAACAATCCAGCATACTTCATAGGAGACCTTAATGCTAAACACACAACCTTAGGACACAATATTAGAAACCCAGGAGGAAAAATCCTCCATGCTCTCATCGAACACGGGACAATAACACACCTCGGGCCCGACTTTGCAACTTACGCATCAGCCGGTAACTCTGGGAAACCAGACATTGTTTTAACCAATAGGCATCACCATCTAAACGTACATCTAAAAGCTGGACCCACAACAACCAGTCATCATCTACCCATAATAGCAACTCTATCCACATCCCCGATACAAATTTCCATCAATCCCAAGATTTTCACTCAATAGAGCAAATTGGGAAAAATTTAAATCGGATCTTAGCAACAACGAACCAACACTATTACACAACAAAGACACAACAGAGATTGACAAAACACTGGACACATGGTACAATGAAGTAATAACAGCAATGAAAAACAACATCCCCAAAACAACATACCGTACATTACCACATGCACAATTAACATATGAAGAGAAAATGATCCAAACTAGATTCACCAATCTATATGAATACACAAAAACACACGGGTGGAGCAATGACAACAGAATATTATACAGGAATCTAAAAGAAGAACTGAAAGACATAAGCAAGAACAAACACAATAAAACATGGAACAAGCTGATCAATGATACACAAGCAGACTACAGAAATCCAAAAGCATTCTGGAAAAAAATAAAAAACCTAATGGGAACTAATTCGGAAGAAACTAGCTACATAATGGACGAAAACGGTAGAAAGGCAACAGAACCACACGATAAAGAACCAATATTTAGAGAATACTGGAAAGACATATTCAGAATCAACGACGAAGACAATAGAAGCTTCTGCCAAGAAACAGAACAGGCAACTAGAACATATTTGAGCCAGAACACAGAGAAATGGAAACCTACCAGGAAAATCAACCTCAATTCATTAAACATTAATAACCCAATAATTGCTCCATTAACTCAAAATGATATTGAAAAAACAATAGCAAGCTTTAAGAATAAAGCACCTGGCATAAGCCAAATTAATAAAATCGTACTACAAAACATTCCTGAGTCTATGATCGAACAGCTTAAAAATATATACAATGCCTCACTTGCAACTGGCTTCTTCCCTACCAAATTTAAAATAGCCAAAATCAGAGTCATCCCGAAAGCAGGAAAGAACCATACCCAAGCAGAGAACTACAGACCTATCTCACTACTGGAAACACCAGGTAAAATATTAGAAAAAGTAGTCAACCACAGACTCAGAAATTTTTTAGACCAAGAAAACAAATATAACCCGAGACAGCACGGCTTTCGGAAAAATCGAGGAACCAACACAGCAATAGCACTAATATACGAATCAATTGCAAATGCTGCAAGCAACAGAGACCAATGTAATATAATTCTAAGAGATGTGTCAAAAGCATTTGATACAGTCTGGCATGAAGGACTGAAGTTGAAAATAATCAAAATGGACATGCCTACCAATATCACAACACTACTATGCAATTTCTTAGACAACAGAAAGGCCAAATTAATCATCGACAACCATCTAGGACAAACTTTCAACCTTCATAGTGGACTTCCCCAAGGCAGTAATATATCGCCGACATTATACACTGTATACACAGCAGACATGCCGCAACCACGGCAATCAGAATATATAGCATACGCAGATGTCACACAGATAGTCAGGTACTCAGGAAAATCCAAACAAATGATGGCCAGTAGAACACGCAGAGAAATAGAGATAATAAATAACTATGAAAGAAAATGGAAGATAAAAACCAATGTCCAAAAACTCAAAATAATTCACATTGCAAAAACAAACCCCTACCCTATTATTGTCAACAACCAACAAATACCACATGCTGCCAACGGAAAAATATTAGGACTCGAGATAACCAGAAACGGAATAATCCCCCACATCAACGAAAGAATAGCTATGGCAAAATCACAACTTACAAAGTTCAGAAGATTCCGCCAATTAAACACCAACACGCAATTGCACCTATACAAAGCACTGATCAGACCACACTTAGAATACCCTCCGATACCTCTGAACACAATCGCAAGAACAAATCAAC